TATATAAAATATGCAGAATGCAACTTATAACATTGTGTGTGTTTATTGTAAGAATCTGCTTATTATACATATACCTTCCAATTCAGGTGCACATCAGGTACGCTGTGCATGTACTATATAATCGAGCAGCATCCTATAAAATTATGCAAAAGACTTCTGACGATATATTGCCGACGTCATGTCGAAGTTATCGGAAAAAAATGAGCAATATCATCTACAGCAAGGTGGACATTAAATGGTCTTATAATCTTATATTTTTATATAGAATTCAGACTGAGAGATGTAAATTCTAACATTACTTATATAAATGATTTTCTCAAAACTTATAAATAATATTTTTATCAAAAATATTAAAATTTAAAACATCTAATTAACATCAAAACATGTAAACAAATATATAATATAATATTTATATTTTTACGTATTAATAATTTAATGAATTTCTCATATTGCTACAATGTTTATATGTATTACATAAATTTTATCGTAAAAAATTATTTTATATCAAAGCATTTAGTTAAAAACAAATATTAATACGTACAAATATAAATACGTACTTAATTAAAAATAGTAAATTAAGAATAAATTTTGTTAATATTTGATGTATTTTTATACTATATGGTATAAAAAATTATTGATATAAATAATTGAAAGTAGGAAAATGTATACAACAAGAATTAATGGTTTTTAAAGAAACATTTTTTTATCTAAAAAATCGACGGACTAGAATCTAGTCGGAATCTTCCTTAGCAGCTGTTGCTTCATCATGAACGTGTTGTTGAACGTGTTGTTTGTTGATTCCGTTAGATCAAAATGTCGCATAATGCGACGCATGGTCAGATTATCACAATATAATGTAAAAATATTGTGTTTACTAAAAGGATTTATAGTTTGATTTTCTTTGACTCTGGCACATTTTAATTTAAATCCGATAATGTGAGTGATATTGGTATCATTATACAAAACAAAATATAAACAAAACATGCATAATTGTTAGATGTGACATAACCTATTTTTTTAGCGAGATATGTTTGATGACGTTCTTTTGTTTAATATATACATATTATTTTTTAATTTGTTTTCTTCATTTCTTACTCTACACCTCTACACAATTGTATACCGCATCTTTATTTCTATTTATTTGCGCGTTCGAACATCATATTATTTAAATCTATTTATAAACAAGCTTCTTTATACATACTAGGAGGAGCAATCAAATGAAATGTAGCGGATGAAAAATTCAGACATTGGAATTAACTAACTTGTTAATAATTATGGTTGATAAGGCACTTTTTTATTGTGAAACCAAACGGCGGATGCTCTATTCAGAAAATTTCTTGCTACTGGAATCAAACTCACTTGCAGTCTCCTGCATTGCTTGTGTCTAACGGAAATTTTCTGCCTTTCAGATTCTTCTTCAGTATATTTATTCTGTAATGATAGTTCAGTATCATTACATTATTGTTGCCCAGCTTTTTTTACCAAGTATACTATCTATGTAACCACAATATAATGATATCGACTGTCGTTAAAAATTAAAATAAAATCAGGGTACAAATCTCCAAAGATATGTAAATTACATGTCATAATTTCGATGGAAAAATACTGGAGTATCTTGTCTGTAGTCCAGATTCGCCACGCGATTTTCATATCTTTGGAGACTGAAGAAGAATTTAAAAGGCAGGAAATTTCCATCGAACACAACAGTGCAGGAGACTGTTTAATCTTATGAATAAGACATCCGTTGTCTGATTTTATAATAGAAATGCCTTATTAACCAGATTATTAACATATTATTAACATATATATTATTAATATATTAGTTGATTTTAATGTTTGAATTTTTCATTCATTACATTTTATATATATGTAAACTAATCTCATTTTTTGTATTTTATAGTGCAAGAGCTTAATTATGGATCCACAAATTCAACAGAAGATTTTACAATTTGAGACCTTCATAAATGATGTGCTGAAAGCTGATCTTGCAAAACTAGCCGAAAAACTTAACACTAAAAATGCTAACGTCGCCGAATTTTTACAATTGAAATCAGTGATAATGACGTTTCAAAATACAAATGTTGAAAAAACTGGGTTCAAGACCAAAGTCGATATTCGAAATAATTTCTTTATTCAAGCACACGTTCCAGATGCTTCCAAGATCTTATTGGATGTTGGTTTAGGACATTATATTGAATTCACTTTGGATGAAGCTTTAATCGTTATAAATATACGGATCACGTTACTTGAGCAACAAATAGCGAATTTACGGAAAGCGATTGCAAGAACTAACGCTCATATTAAGTTAATTCTTATTGCTATTAGAGATTTGCAAGGAATGAGAGTAAATATTTGAAATATCGTTGTGACAAGAACCGACTTAATGTAAGAATATTTCTTAAAAATATAACTTTAGTTATTTGTTTATATAACAGAAACATGCTCTGCATATTTATGAGGTGAATATATGTGGTAGTTGTAATTTATTTTTATATATTTCTAAATAAACTCATAAAACAATAAGTTTCATATATTATTTTCAAACATTCTTTGCTCTACTTTTCTAAAATTATAATCTTAAGACACATTTATGTTAAAGATAATAGTAATTAAAATCATTAATAAATAGTATTTCATGTAATTCGTCTAACTCATCTTTAATATATTCTTAACCAAGATAAGATGATACGTTTCAAAAGTGCTCCTTCTGTTTCCTCTATCAAATTTTAGATGCAGCCACTTATGCAAATATATATGAAAGTAGCCTTCCCAAGCAATTTTTCCCTATTCTCTCTTCATATGTGCATCTTGTACTTTATGACTTAAACTGTCTCTGAGCTATACTGTCTACAAGTTAAAAGCTTAATTTGTTTCAAGTGTTTACCAGTATACTTATGCATATATTATTCACCCCTTTGAATATAAAGAATGTTCACATACAATCTAGTCACTTGTTAACTCTTCGAGACCTTGAAGCAAGAGATTTAGAAATATCTTCTTGAAGATGTTAAATAGTATTTTGGGTAATAATTTCTAAACTGAATTGCTGATATATCCAATATTATAAAAACTATTTCTTTAATTATAAGTTATTTTTATATTTTTTACATTTATAATATTAATATATCTTAATTGTCAAAATAAATTTTTAATTTTTTTTGCATAATAAAAAATCCATAATTTAATGATTGAAATGTATGTTATTTTTTGTTTAGATACAAATGCAAAAAGTTGCATTATTATAAGCCTAAAGACGCGTTATACTATTATACTATAATAATAAATTATTTCATAATCTATATTTTTGATAAGAAAAAAGTAGATAAGTAAGAAAAAAGTTATTAAAACATTTTCTACATAGGGGCTCTATATAAACTTCTATCGGTAAATAAGGTTCTATCATCAATAGATAATATCTAATAATAAGGTAAATACATAATGTTATGTAAAAAATAATTGCCTTTCATACATATATACTATTTGTTGATAAATAATTTTATATAAGTAAATAAAATATTTTTTTCATAATGATAT